CGCATAGCACATTAAAGGAACCCTCCGAGGTTCCAAATTGCACTCCATCGGAGCTCCTAGGTCTTATTAAAGACCTCAAGGTGCGTAAGGTACCTGGGGAGGATCAAATCACCAACAAGGCGCTGAAGCTGCTCTTGCCGAAAGCTCTGACATATTTGGTGACGATACGATGCTCAGAACCCAGACACTTCCCTGTGGGATGGAAGACTGCTTAGGTCACCATGATTCCAAAGAAGGTGGATTCGATATTTTCTCAGGATGACCGTTAGTCTGCTGTCAGCTCCTTATAAGCTCGCCGAAAAGGTGATTTATCGCTATCTTGAGAATTTTTGGTCAAATCACCATGTGATTCCTGACGTTCGATTCGGTTTTCAGTCCGAGCATAGCACAGAGCTACAGGCAGTCAGGCTGGTGAAACATGTAAGCAGAGGGTTCACCCTTAGCATGAGTACTGGCATCTTGCTTTTGGATGTCTCAAAAGCCTTTGACAAGGTGTGGCACGCGGGCCTCCTTTATAAACTAATCCAAAAGGGTTTTCCTTTTTGGTTTCTAAAATTACTGAAATCCTTTCTTGAACGAACGAAGTTTCGGATCAAAATTAACAATGTTTTGTCAACAACACGGCCAATCGTTTATTCGATTCTTATCCATGATGTTCCTTGCCCCAGCACCTGCGAAGTCTACCTCTATGCTGACGACGCTGCACTTGTCGCGCAATGTCGTGTACTGGTGATCGAGTTCACGATGGCTTGCAGAATGCGGTGGAAGACGTACTAGAGTGGGCGGAACGGTGGTTGATTAAAATTAATCATTCAAAAATGCAGGCTATTTATTGTACCAAAAAAACATCGCGGCCCCCCAGCAGAGGTTTCTGTAGACGGCAGTCGTGTACTATGGACAAATTCTGCCAAGTACCTCGGTGTCATCCTTGATAAAGGCATCACCTGGCAGAAACATACAGCAGTCTTGAAAACAAAATTCCAAACTGCGTTTCGGCAACTACATCCTTTGTTATGTAGATCCTCCAAATTGAGTTTGATAAACAAAGTTCGCTTATAGAAAATGATTATTAGACCAGCCATTACTTATGCATTTGCGGCTTGGTGTTTTCTTTCCAAGACACAAGTGCAAAGTCTTCAAGTGCTGCAAAGTAGAACCTTGCGAACAATTTGCAACGCTCCATGGTGTGTCTCAAACGAGACACTACACAGAGACCTTGACCTTACTTGAGGGATTATGTCAAGCTTCAGGCGCAGCGACGTTATAGTCACGCGCAATCGCACAGCAACCCTCCGTTGCGCGACTCAGTGGTCTACACAGTGGAGCAAGTTCGTAAACATTCAAGGCCACGGCCACTGTAATCAAAAATTAGCGCGAACTTCTAGTAAACTTAAACTTGCACTCTAACAAAAACGAGCCTCTTCTCCTTTTTTTGTCTTTTCCTTTCTCTTTTTCCTTGACATTGTCTCGTTTCTGGGTAACCAGGACTGACAGATTCGACTACTACTGCTCGTCGTTGCTTCTCAAGGCGGTCCGGAGGACCTTAGCCTTTAGTTCATAGTCACTGTAATGTCAGTGTCTGTCGTCAGTCTGTCAGGTCTGGTGACCCAGAAACCAGACAAGTTGTAGGGGAAGGGAAATGGGAGAGGGAGAAAGAAAGGAAGGAAGTAGAAGCGAGAAGAGAAAGAAAAGGAATTGTTTTATGTAAATATTTGAGGTGTGATAGATCTAAGGCCGGTATTAGACTATAAAAGATCTTTGACAAAGGTATTGTATAAAATATTTTAGTAGGATTTATTTGAAGACATTTTGTTTACAAATTTTGATAACCGTATTATACTACATAAAAGCTTTTACAATATTTTTAGTTTATCATTAGGTACGATGGATGAGAATCGGTTTGTTGCTTGTGCTGCTGCAATAAGTGCAATTATGACGGTGTGGTTATTGTTAAAAAAGAACAAAAAGAAACGACGCCTTTGGGTGAGGCCCTGGATTGCTCGACGTGAACAACAAGGAATTCATCATACCTTGCTTCGAGAACTACAATTTGAAGATTTAAAAAGTTACATCAACTATTTAAGAATGGATGAAGATAGCTTCAAATTTATAGCGTCGAAGATATCACCATTAATTTCCAAACAAAACACACACTTGAGAAATTGTATTAGCGTAGAGGAACGTCTTATGGTGACACTTCGTTTTCTAGCAACAGGGGAGAGTTATAGAAGTCTACAATATAGCAGCCGTATACCACAATGCACACTGTCAGGCATAATCCCAGAGACATGTGAAGCTATTTACCAAGCGTTAAAGGGAGATTTTCTGAAGGTAAATATAAAGATATATAAAAGAACGTACACACATGGTTTTTATTACAAATATATTTTGTTAGTACTAGAAATAAAAATGAAAATGACAATTCATATTTGCACAAAACTTTTTAAACATTATTAGAAATTATAAAACTCACGGTGAAACAAAAAAAGTTTAGTTTAATTGAGAAAAACATGCAGGATCATAATCAGATCTTGTTATATTAGCCATATGTATTGCATTTTCCTCTGAAGTATTACCTGGTGTCTGGGTTGTTAATATCCATTGATTTGAAGATGATTGGGATGAAACAGGGCTAGGTAGCAGGGTTGGTTGATCAATCATATCCCAGGCCTCCATTAAAACCATCTGAATTTTTCTTTTAGTTTTCCGTACTGTATACTCGTTGCTTGCACCTTGAATACCACGTAGCTCAGCCACTACAAACTGACCAAATGTCTCTAAAGAATCGTGTGTTGCTTTAGAAACTGATCTCTCTCTAGCTATTTTTGACATTTCCTCCATTGTATTTGCTGCCTTAGTTAATACAGAATTGTGCGAAAATTTTTGTATTTTTCTGATTTTTGGAGGTAATACGGAGCTTTCTTCATTTAACCTTATACTTAGGTTACTGTTCGTATCTTGATCCTGGAAAAAAAATTAATTATAATTCAACAGTTAAGCCTTATATTTAAAATTTTTATTTTATAGGTACCCAGAACCGAGAAAGAATGGTTAGATATTGCAAAGGACTTTGAAGATAAATGGAATGTGTTCAATACAATCGGGGCGATGGATGGAAAACATGTACGCATTACCTGTCCAGATAAAGGAGGATCCCATCATTTTAATTATAAATCTTATCATAGCTTATTTTGTTCGCACTTACGGATGCCAACTATAAATTTATCTACATAGATGTGGGGACAAATGGTCGAATTGGTGATAGTGGCGTGTATAATAAAAGCAAACTTAAAAAATGCCTTGCAGATAACTCTATTTTGAACATACCTGCTGGTAAAAATCTTCCGGGCGCTAATATTGCTACACCTTATGTTGTCTTGGCAGACGACGCCTTTCCACTAAGTTACAATGTTATGAAACCTTACCCATTAAAAAATATAACCAGAGAAGAAAAGATTTATAACTACCGATTGTCTCGCGGAAGAAGAATTGTTGAAAGTAGTTTTGGAATATTGGCAAGCCGGTTCAGGGTATTTTTAACTACAATCAATTTATGCCCTGAAAAAGTCACAAAGATTGTACTTGCAGCCTGTACCATACATAATTTGTTGATTGACCGAAGAAAACATCTGTATACTTGCCATGAGATTATTTCTAGAAGTAGGAAAGGACACACATTTTTAGACGTTTTAAGTCATGAAGAACTTCAAGAATTGCAAACTCTAACCACTCAAACTCGTACTGTAGGGAATCGCCATGGTCGCGAAATAAGGGAAAATTTTAAAATATTTTATAATGGTGCTGGAAAAGTACCATGGCAAGAAGAATATGCTTAATTTTACTATTCTGTATTAACTTACATCATCTGGAGGTGCAATAATATTCGTAGTGGAACTAGTGGATTGAGACTCATTAGGCGATAGTAGCGATTCATCTAAATTAGACTGGGATTGGTCTGGATCTGTAGATTTATCTAAAAATGTTAGCAGAGGAAACCAGTATACTGTTGGTTTGTACAGGTCGTCACTTCTCGCTCCGCTTTTTTTGCTACGCAGGACCTGCAAAAAATATTATGTACAATAATTAGTTGTATTTCCATAAGTATTTGTTTGATGTAAACAAAAAAGAATAAATAAAGATATTTATAATGACTTACCTTCATTTTTTCGGCCAAATATTGACTTCTTAAACCATTTAATTTCTTTTTAACATCTTCTACAGTGCAACCCTCACTGACAGTGTTTACAGTTTCAGCTATTGATCTATAGGCATCCAATCTTTTATTTCTGTTTTTATAATTAATATTTTTACTGTCGTATAACAATTCAAATGCCTCATATTCAGAAATTAATAATTTTGTAGCAGTAATTGACCAGACAAACTTGCCTTCCGCCATCTTTGCTAAATATTTTATAAAATTTACTCACTGTCGTCAATTTTTATAAAAGATATTTTATAAAAGAAATATTTTGTTAAAAGATGGTATATTACACCGTAAAATATTTCATAAAACTTGTTTTATAAAACTTCTTTGTCAAAGATCTTTTACAGTCTAATACCGGCCTAAGAACTGTTATATTGTACTATATAAATTGTTTGACTTGTCCTAAACTGAATTTTGGGTCTTTGGTTTTTAAAGGTCTAAACATGAATTTAATTTTTGTTCACAGTGCGAGTCGCGGCCTGGAATGTTTGCATATCTCCTCGAATGTGTGATCCATTGCTTCACGCAACAAAGGGTTGACAGATTCGGCTAACGTATATTAGACAGTGACTAATGAGCAAAGGTCCTACGGACCGCCCAGACAAAAAAATGATGAATAGTAGCATTCCCATAGTTTGACAATCTGATAGCACTACATGAAAATAGGCCAAAAGTGTCAAAATTATAGCCAGGCTAGACAAATATTTCCCGTTTATTCCCTTAGATACGTCTTATAGCCCACAAGAAGACTTCATTGAACTTCAAAGATACTATATATAGTATTTTGTGTTTAAAGGTAAACATCCGATCAGTAGGCCGGAAGAGATTTGCGCATCTATCAGAGAATCTGGACGAGATCTACGTAGACGCAAACATTCCATGGGGAGAAGACACGTTGTTCACGTTAGAGTTTAGGCCGGATGAAAACGGAAAATACGCTATCCACACCTGTAACAACAAATACCTCTCAATGGGCGGTAAGTGAATAATTATAGATTGTTTCCTGCGCTCGTGCTTCATCGAAACTATTATGTGCTTTCTATAAACTACGCTACGCCATATGTCATTTTCTCTTGGAATGGCATCTTCGATTTCATTCCTTGATGGTTATACCATGAGACAACTAAAATTCATGGATTCATAAATAGCTGGGTCTTGTATGTTAGAACTGCAAACTGTGCTTCCATAAATTGTGATACTTATTACTACGGATAATTAGTAGTAAAGGGTGTCCCAAAATTCATATGTTCCTTCTTTAAATTGTTATTTTTTATTGAATCGTAAAGAACACAGTATAAAGTTATGTGTGAAAGAAGTGACTTCTTTAGTTTCGCTAACATTGAAAATTTCAATGGCCAATATAGGCATTTTTCATAAATTTGCTTAAGTTTCGTTGATTCACCGCTGAATTTCCGTTTCCGTTCACGAGTGTCTGTGGACTTTTTTACTGTCTAAATTGGACAATATTGATGTGGATAACGTAAGTGACATCATGGTGCCATATGACATTTCTTCGTCGTAAATTGGATAATACCCGTACAGAAACCCGTACATTGAAAGAGGGAATTCCACGTAGCTTTATTATATTATTATAATTCAACCATGTTTATGCAAAATGGTCGTGAAAATATTCTTCAACAGGGTGCGTATGCGCCAGTAAGGCCGATGAGCTCACTTTCCTCATGTGCTGCTCTATACATAACTCTATCCTGTGTACTTTATAATTCAATAGAATATAACAATCTAAAGCAAACATACTGTGTTCTCTATTTAATTTAAATTTTGCCTGAATTTTGGGATTCTTTTTCTTGAAGCATTCCAAATTTCTAAGTGTTCAAAAGTCCATGCCAATAAACCCACAGAAACCCGTACATTGAAAGAGGGAATTCCACGCAATTCAACCATGTTTATGCAAAATGGACCTGAAAATATTCTCCAAAAGGGTGCGTATGCGCCAGTAATGCAGAGCAGCTCACTTTCCTGATGTGCTGTTCTATACATGAGTCTATCTTGTGTACTTTTTAATTCAATAGAGATATTCGATTCCAAATTTCTTATAATGTCTTTGGAACAACAAAAGCTATTAAATAATAAGTAATTTCAATTTATTTAAGGTTGTTGCTACTTGGTGCATCAAAATCAACGTTTGGCAAAGTTTGTAGTAGTATCCGTGTACAAATTCAATATAAAAACTGGTCAGTATATTATATATGTGAAACTCCAAAAGATGCGAGTAGCAATACATTATTTCTTTATCATTCGTCGTGTTTAAAAATGTACAGCAATGGACAAAAGTATATAGACAAATTAATATTGTGCTGTTTTTCTTTTTTAACTTGTTTTATTAATACACCAACCTCTATACATAATTCGTTGTAGCATAATACTCACTTATAGGTGTACATAAATAAATTCATTAGACTCCCTTTAATAAAAAATTAATTGAAAAAAACTGGAGCTATGAATATATAGACAAAACAAAACAATTATAGAAAAGAGAAGCAAAGTTCATTGAATTATAGAAAACCAACCATGTTTGTGTTAATATTTTGTAGCATAACCATTATTATCAATGGCATCGTCTCGGCATAGATTGTAGAAGTTTCTTGATATAAGATTCATCAATCTGTCTCCACTTTTGCTCTAAAGCGGCAAAAAGTCCATCCTTGTTTGAATAATTTTCATCTCGTATTTGCTTATCTAAGTATTCCCATAGATTTTAAATGGGGTTCATATCGGGTGACTGTGAAAGCCATTTGAGAACTGGTATTTTTTCATCCAGAAAGAATTTCTTTGCGAGATTTGAAGTATGCTTCGGGTCATTATCTTGCTGGAAGATTGATCTTAAGGGCAAATTGTCTTCTATATGGGGTAACATGACATGCTTTAGCATGTCTGTGTATACAAACTTATCCATAATGCCATCTATTCTATCTAAAGGTCCCATCCCAAACCCCGAAAAGCACCCCCAAACCATAACAGATTCGCCTCCATGTTTGACAGTGGGCAAAGTGTGCTTGGGGTTCAAACTTTGTCCACTAGGACATCTAACGTAAGGAACACCATCTGATCCAAACATACTGAACTTGGATTCGTCACTGAAACATACCCTCTTCCAGTTACAGATGCTCCAATCAAGATGCAACCGTGCAAATTGTAATCGGTCCTTACGGTTTTTCCTCGATATTAGCGGCTTCTTACTCGGGCGACGTGCAAAAATAACTTCAAATCATTTAATCTTCTACTTATAGTTTTCATAGAAACACTGACAACTCTTTTTGTCTCGATTTCGGCTTTTATATGTCTTGAGGTTTTAAACGGATCTTTGGACGAAATTACTTTTATTAATCTAACTGATATAGCATTTAGTTTTCTAGGCCGACCACTTCTCTTAGAGGCTTCCAAGATACCTTTTTTTTATATTTGTTCAATATTGCCCAAACTGCTTTACGCTTCAGCTTCAAATTTTTGGCTATGTCGACTTGACGTTGACCATCTTTGTATAACTCAATGATCTTAGTTTTCACATCGAAAGAAATGTCTGGACCACGCGGCATGGTCTTAAAATCACTCAACTTATTCCACAATACTTGATGAACACAAACTAATCCTCTTCTGACACGAAACAGTACTGAACTAATGTTGAAAAGAATTTGTCTACATATTTTTGACTCTCATAAAAAAGTGCTTATATTCAGACTTGTATTGTGTTCATTGCAGATAATGTAAAAACAAGGAATTTAGTTTTTCTACTAATAACACATTTGTTTATGGAGCAATGAAGTATGAATTCGTTTTCTAAAGGTATTTAGATAATTATTCATATTTGTCTATATACTTTTGTCCATTACAGTATATCTACCTACCAACAGCTTTACTCGCACATATCAACTTGTGCGATTCGTCACAGTAGGTCTGGAATCTTTATGGCAAGTTTATTGTTGGTACTCTGAAATAGTAAGCTTACTTCTTTGCTACCATGTATGTTTACTAGCATAAATTAATGCCTCAAAAGCAACTTCATATCAAGGCCTCTTGAAAAAACTTGATCATGTAGGTTGACTTTTCTCTCATATGAAGTTGATTAGGTTTTTGATAGAATTGGGTAACTGCGATACAGGCAAAATCAAATAATAATTACATAAATAAAAAACTGTAAGAATTTGTGAATGTATATGAAGTTCGAAAAACTGTTTACTTAGGCAGTTTTTCCAAGGTGAAACCAACATAAAATAATTTAATCTGCAATAATGCTATCACGAAGTGTCGACATATGCCAACAGAAACAAATTAGTCTAATCATATTAGACGAAAATACCCCTGGTTTGCGAAGTAATTGTGAAGTATCGTTTTATTGATGCAGGTTGTTTAAGGGGGTATTTGAAACATGGACGCATAAAATGGGTATACCAATTTTTCTGGGAAAACCTTTTATTGGCCAACAAAGAGTGAGAAATTTCGTTTTCAATTCAATTGAAGGCAAAATGCAGATTTTGGTACTTATTGCAAATACGAGGATAATTTCACGTAGCTACTTGAAATTGAAAACCCACAGTTTTTGTATTTATCATCTTACGTAGATGCCCATTTCATCAACAGGTTAGATATTTTTTGCACAGTTTTTATTTTTGTATTACGGCAGCATAAGGCGAAGGTAATCTCCCTTTTCGGGAGTGATTTGAAACAGGATGCCCTAAAACAACGTGAATGTTAAATATACAAAAAATCGGGAATTAAGTAATTTAAATTACTATATCTCAAAGTGTGACATACAGAGGTGACAGTAGCCTTGTCAAAGTGGATCTATTATTATTTATTACTTAGAGGAGATACATAGCTGTGACTGTGCTACGGTATCTCATTTCATCCCGGAAAATTTTTCGGACGCATCAATATGGCATTAGGTTAGCCATCTCCAGGTAAAATCCGTTAATTAATATTTATATTTTAACAAACCTATTCATCATTTTATCCTCCTTCCGTTTTTTTAAATAAACGCGTTATATCTTTTATTCTACATAGTCTATTTTCAAAAGTAAATTACAAATCAGAACGTTTTCGCTGAAAATCGGAATGTTGAACACTTCATAATGTATAAGATGCCGGACTTGATAGACTACAATTATGATGCAGATATGCCACAGTGAATGCTTTGATCGTGCAAACAATTTAATAAGCTCGCGCATTTCAGGCGTGTTAGGTAAACATTACCAGTCTCGGATATTATTATCTTCAACTGTGACCGTTAAGTTTGACGATCAACGACCGCTCTTGATATCTTAATAAGTATAAACATTATCTACAACACTTGCGGCTATCCGCAAAGCTATCATCGAACAGCAGACTTCTTGGAAAATATAAGTTATATGTCTCATGATAAGTTTCCCTATAGTTTGCACTGGTTTCAGCGCTACAAGTTGTCGTTCGCGCGTGTACGGAAATGTACAGCAATTTTTCTCCTATCCGACTTTGTAATGACAACTGGTTTTCAAATTACAGTGTCCAACCGAATTTCCGTTAATCCACTTTTAATTATTTTTAAGCAATATTACTATAAACACGGCTGAGTGCAATCGTTGAATTGGTGGTTTCAATATTAATTCTAATAATGATTCAATGGACTAAACGCAAAGTTGTATTTCAAAAGCCAAAATAACTACACAATCTGTTTACCGAGAGTTTGGCGTATGCCGACCAAACTATACTAAGTGACATATAAATCCGAACACCCAGTTTAAATGGTTCTATTTTAATAAAATTTTGTATAAGTACTTAATGAAGCATAATAAGTAAATGATAAAAATTTCAAAATGATTGCACTGCTTTAAAGCCTTTTGACCTTTAATAATGTGTGGATGCACCCTGATGTGCTACGCATTCTCCAACGCGCCTAGGCATGCTTCTGATCAGGTGGTCATTATCCTCCTGTGGTATCTCATTCCAGGCAACCACCAACTCCTCTCGAAGTGCTTCTAGA